AAGTAAGCAATCTCTAACAAGATAATTGGTGAAGGGAGAATGCATGGTGACAGCAAGAGGGGACAAAGTCATGCTCTGTAGGTACTGACTTGATAACTGTGTGCCTGAATGCTTGCATTTTTGTATGATATGTTGTTTGGGTTTGGGAAAATGTAGTTTTAAGTCCCACTTACAGTGTAGGTACTAACCTTGCTGAGATGCTGAGGTAGCAAAGGTCCTCACCTGTCCTGGAGTCTGTCTCTTCATTTTATGTCTCCTATGTTGAGGCATGGAAGCTTTTTTCTTTAACACCATCTCATTTGTCAGTTCATGGTGTTTTTTCTGGGCCGCTGCAGTCCTTCTCTTCAGGAAGTCCTTGCCTACACTACACCTATATGAAATGTTTTCTCTCCTGAGCACTAGGGTTTAGGATTTCTAGACCTACATTACGGTCTTCCATCCATTTTGAATTTATTTTTGTTCAGGACGAGAAGTGTGTATCCATTTTCATTCTTCTATATGTGTATATCCAATTTTCCTGGCACTGTATGTTGAAGAGGTTATCTTTCCTCTAATGTATATTTTTGGCCTTTGTAAAAAATAACCATAAACAGCTTTCAATGTGGCTTTAGTTCTGGGGCTTCTATTCTAGGCCATTGACCAGTGTCTTTGTGGCAATAGGATACTGTTTTTGTTACTACTGTTTTATAGGGTAATTCAAAATTCAAAATACCTTCAACATGATTATTTTTGCTCAGGATTGGTTTGGCTGTCTGTAGTCTGTGCCTCCATATGAATTTTAGGATTTTTTTTTTCTAGTTCTGTAAAAATGGTTACTGGAATTTTGATAATGATTATGTTAAAGAAGGTCAGTTTTGGTAATATAGCCATTTTTTTGCGATGTCAATTTTACTATCCCATGAACATGAATTTTTTTTTTTCCATTTTGAAGTAGTTTCAGTTTCTTTCTTCAGTGTTGTCAAATTGTCATTGAAGCATTTACTTTTTGTTAGGTTTGTTCTAGTTTTCTGTTTTGTAATCATTGTGAATTGTGGTCTCCTAATTTTCTCATCGTGTTATATATTAGAAAGCTACTAATTTTCACATGTTAATTTTGTATCCTGCCACTTGGATGAAAGTGTCAGTTCTAAGATTTGTAGTGGAGTCATTACATCACTTATGTATAGGATCATTTTGTCTGTAAGCAGAAATAATTTGACTTCTTTTGTTTCTGTTTGTAGTTCTCATTTCTCTCATCATATTTCTCTAACCAAGATGTCAAGGATATGTTAAATAGGAGGGAAGAAAAGTAGACAGACACCCTTGTCTCACTCCCGATTTTAGTGGAAATGCTTTTTTTCTTTGTTTAATTGTAGCATTGTTTGTTTGTTGTATATGGATTCTGTTAATGACTTTTCTGCATTGAGATGATCATATTGTTGATGATCATTGAGATGATCATATTGTTCATATCTTTAACACTATTAATAGGCTATATTTATTGATTTGCATATGCTGAAATCCTTTTATTCTTGTAATGAACCACATTTTGAGCTAGCACAAGGTTCTGTGTTGACCACTTCTGGACCACAGACTCTGTGTGTTTTCGCTGAGGAACTTCAGAAAATTTGCCTCAATTCTGCTGTTTTCTTGTTAATCACAGTTGATTCCTCCTCAGCCCCAGCTGACTATAACCACAATTTATTAATATGAAAGAGTACGTGAACAACCCGGTAGACTCCGAAACTTCAGTCAGGGCTCCATCATCTGCACTGTTTTCAGAATTATCATCTAAGTTCTCACAGCAACTCATTATCTTCCACATCACAATGTGATCCCGTTTGTCAGCAACATCCCACAAACCTGGTACTCATGTCTGCCTTAGTCAGGTTTCTATTGCTGTGATTAAATGTTATGACCAAACAACTTGGAGAAGAGTTTATTTTAGTTTAGCTTTAATGCCCCATGATGGGGAATTAGGGCAGGAGCTCAAGGCAGGATCCCAAAGGCAGGAACTGCCATGGAGGAGTGCTGCTTATTGACTCACTCCTTATGGCTTTCTCAGCCTACTTCTTTTATAACTCAGGGCACCTGCCAGGGGTGGAACCACCTACAGTGAGCTGGGTCCTTCCACGTCAATTATTAATCAACAAAATGATCCACACACTTGCTGGCTAATCTTGTGGAGACATTTTCTCTGTTATATTTTCTCTTCTCAGATGTCTAGATTTGTATCAAGTAGGAAAAAAAATCCAACTGGTGCATCTCTTTTGTCAGATTTTAGTGAAAATGGATCTGCTAACTTTCTAATTCCGTTTCCTTATACTATCCTTTTCCATTCTTTCACCTTACAGCTGTTTTTGGTCTTTGCTAGTAAGCTGTGTTTCTTGCAGGCAGCAGAGAGCTGTTACTAACTATAGTGGAGAACTGGTAATGTTAGTACTCAGAGGTATTATTGAAAGTATGTGTTGTTCCTGCCATTGGTTGTTTCTGCGGTGTTTTGTCCTAGTGTGGTTTTTTTCTTTCAGTGGCCTTATAGATATATTTATCTTCTTTTTAATTAAAGCAAATGTTTGCTCGTGTGCTTTTAAAATAATTTATTAATTTAAAAATACAAATATTTTACATGTGTGTTTTGCTATGTGTCCATATATGTACCACATGTGTACATGGTGTCCACAGTGCCAGAAGAAGACATTGAATCACATGGGACTGAAGTTAGAGATAGTTGTGAGCTGCCACATGGGTGCTGAGAGCCAAACCTGGTCCTGCTGAGCCACTCCCCAACCCCAATTTAAAAATTTTAAATAATGTATTGTGAAATAGTTCTGCTTAAGACTATTTCCAAAGTAAAGTTATTTCTAAGAAAGTTAAGGAAACATTTATCCACATTTGAAGTTATTAATATCCTCCATTCTTATGGAGTTTGAAAAATGTTGTATATATAGTTTATTGCAAATTCTGCTTAAACATAGTTTACCCCTATTTTAAAGTTTTTGCATATTATAATGTATAGCTATTTAATATATCTTGAGTGAAAGTTGGAGCTCCATTAAATGCTTATTTGTAGTTTTGGACTCTGAGTTTAAACTTGTACATTGTGCAGTGACTTTAATTTATTTAGTTAATTTCTTGGGTTTTGATGGGATAAATATGAACATCACTTGTTGGCAAGCTTTGTTCTTAAAATTGCAATAAACTAGAAGCTTTGTTTTTTTAAGTACATAGATAAAGATTTTGTTTTATTTTGAGCAAAATACAAATTGTAGGTGATCCACTGTCAGAATACTTTAAAGTAATTATAGGACCTTAAATTGATTACTATTTAACCATCAAACATTTTTAATGTCTTGTTGTGGATGTTTAGCTTAACACACACACAGAGAGAAGTCATGTTGTTTTTAAATATTTTGTTTATTAGTATTCACTGCACATTTTTGTCTTCCTTTGACCAGTTGAAAAAGCATAACATTTGTAGGAAAAATTGTTTTGGGCAACTCATCTTTTTTTGTTTACTCCTCAGTAATTTTATTCTTTGGAGTTAGAATATATATATATATATATATATATATATATATGTGTGTGTGTGTGTGTGTGTGTGTGTGTGTGTGTGTGTGTGTGTGTGTGAAATTTTATATTTTAGAATGCTTTCTATGAAATAAAAGATAAAAAAAAACCTTGTTTAGAATTTAGTATTTTGAAAAGTATACTTTGAATAATGATTTCCTTTGTTGCTTTTAGCTGTTAAGTTTTCACATGGTCAACTGTGGACTTGGCAAGGTTTTGTGTCTATAGCTGACAACAGAATAATTCATTAGTTAACTGAAAGCTAATTGATCTCTAAATGTTATGCTTTATTCCTAAAATGTATACTGTATTCCTTAGATTTCTTTTGTCATTCTGTCACAGTAAAATAAAAACCCTGGAAATTTACCATGTTCCCATAGCATTCTTACATGGTTTGGGTGATAGCTAATTCTCTGATTGCACCCTGTAGCATTGCCTTCCTAAATTTCAGCTACAGGCAGGCTCTCACTTCTCTCCAGGCCTTTGAGAATTTTCTTCTTGGAGGTCTGTTCGTCATAGGCTCCTCTGTGATCACGACTCACCTGGAATTTTATCACATCATAAACACTTTGTCTGATCATAATACAGAAAGAGCCTTTTTTCCCGATGTGTTTCCTAATCTTAGTATTCAGTACTCTATTTCTCAACTTTTTCTTCATAGTAGTGTTCCCTATTTTAATGGCCTTATTTATTACAAGAACAGATATATGTCATGTTTATGGATGTCTGTCCTGAATAGCTAGTTTTTGCTGAATATGAAGGTCTTACATAGTTACCTTTTTGATTCTCACTTGTAGCTATAAAAGAAAAAGCTGATAGTGGTATTTGCATCTGATAATTTTAATGAAAAAAATTGTATAATGAAGGAACTGTAAAAGGTAGTGTTATGTACGTCCTAATATAGATTTTGATGTGTTCTTAATCCAGACCATTAGAGTTTAGTGTATTAAATTGACAGCATATAAGATCAGAATAATATACAAGTCCATTGATTACATGGAATTCTCTACAGCTATTGAGCCATGAGAAAGCTGTTATTTGTGAACTGATATGGAAAGACTAATATGGAGCAATACGAGATTACAGTACCCAGTCAGAGCAGTTAGTGCATTTTGCTTATGCTTTGCTTGTAAGAGGTAGAAAAAAATTTTAAAGTGGATTCCTTATGTATTAATAAAAATTCTGAGTGTGTAAAAAGCAGGTGAAAAGTGATTATAGAACTAGGTGATGTAAAGGGAATGAAAATGTTTAAAATATATTTGATGCATATTTTTTTACATTGTCTTGATTTTAAAAACTGACTGTAATTATTGTTTCAAAATTTTTGATAAGCAAAAATTAAGATCGAAATATTATGTTAGATGTAGTAATTTTTAAGATCTATTTAAGATGCATGTGTTCATTTAAAAGAAGTTTTGCTTTTTCCCCAACCTTTTTATCCCTCTTTCACTCAGTGGAGTAGGTCGAAACTGGGGCTGGGCGTCTGCAGGTAGCAGCATTCTGGCTGAATTTGGTACATTGCATATGGAGTTTGTCCACCTCAGCTACCTGACTGGTGACTTGATTTACTACAAAAAGGTTAGTTATAAAAGACTCTTACAATTTCCTAAAAGATCTTAATACTTAACATGTTTTTTTTAGGACTTTGGGTTTTATTGTTTTCTTTTTCTTTCAGTTTTTTTAAAATTCCTTTCCACTTATAATATATTTAAAGTGTTTATTGAGAAGTTATAACCACTATTTATTTTGTTAAAAAATTTTATTCCCATTTCTACTCTTGGTTCTGAACTCCCTGGCCCACATGCTAAGACAAGAAAACAAAATTTAAAAGCTTAATAATTGCAAAGAAAGAGAGAAAATACTGCTTCTACATAGAGTATGTGATTATTCTACTGGATATTTTAAGACAGTCTTAGGGATTTTGTTTGTTTGTTTGTTTTTTGAAAGGAGGGTTTTTCCTTTCCTTTTTAGAGAAGTAGCTCCATCATTGCCCAGGGTCTTGCTCATGCTGACTGCAGGCTCTACTATTGAGCTATGCAGGAATGTTAGGACTCTTGACTATTTAAATGTAAGTGACTACTGTGAATGCAAAGCTCAGTTCTCACCTCAAAAAATATAAGAGGTGTGTTTATTCTAGAGCTAAAGATGAACAGCTTTAGGCTCCCTCCTCCCCAACACAGATTCAGGTTATTGCTGTTTCAACAGAGTAACAGTTTCATAAAATTTGTATAATAAAATAATAAAATCATAATATATATTAGTGGAAACATCAGATATATGAGTTACTCCAAAGTGGGGAGATCTCTTTGTTAGATGTTACTTGATAGCTGGTACTTTGTTAGATGTTACTTGATAGACTTTGGGCTGGTAGAAGCCAGGAGTCTGTCAGGACACTTCAGGAGAACCTAATAGTCACAAGGATGTTAGGTTACACACAGAGGTAGGCAAGGAATGGCTATTTAGAGGACTAAATATACTCTTAAGATAGTTTTGTTCTGAACCAAAACATTCCAACACTCTATAATTATGGTGTTTTAACCAGTTAATTGTCCTTATAGAATCTTTAACATGGACAAGACTATTTTTTTTTTTTCTTCTTAAGCTCTGAGAAGAAACAAATATTTAATTGGGGGGAGCTACAAAATATTAGTGTAGACTTAAAATCCTTAGCATCTGTCTAATCTGTCTCTGTCAGCTGCAAAGGGTAAGAACGTGTCATTTTATAAAGATGCTTTATGTGGTAGGAACAAAACATATGTTTAGCACAAATTTAAAATCTGTGGAGGTAAGTTCATAGTGAGGATGGGGTCACAGGCAGATGAGTACTTTCCAGACTATAAGGACGTACAATGCTAAGAAGCTAGGGAAGGATGCTCACAAAAGTTCTACAGTGCCAGCTTCAGTGAAGGAAGACATGACAGTATCTCTGGCCTACAGTGCTAGCCTCCATTCTCATGGCCAGGGAGAAGTAAAGGCTGGAAATCACACTTACATTTGTGTTTATCCTCAGTCTTCGATGTCAAAACTTTCTTGTGAATAGTTGAGTAAGGAAACAGATGAACGTCAATGTGGTGGTGTAGATCTGTAATCCTGCCATTCATAAGGTTAAGGCAAGTGAATATTTACACCAGTGTGAACTCCATGCTGAGTTTAATAGGAGTCCTCCCTTCCCCCAAAGTGGAAGGGAGTTGATGAGTGATGAATAATTCATCTAAAAGGTGAATTTGTAGAGATTTAATCAGAACAAAAGGGAAGGGCCATGGAATGTGACAAACATCAGGGAAAAAATAAAAATCTTGACCAAATATCACCGTAAGAAAAGCATGTATTCCCTCATGCCCCGATTTTTGTAGAATGAGAATATAAACTGAGATAAAATGCTAATAGAATGAGATGTGGTATCAGTACCAGAGCAGAAGAAAACATTACCACCAAAGAGAAGGCCAAAGTGGAAGCAACATGGGGAAAGATAGGGATTGAAATGTGGAAGGAATGACTTAGAAGACAAAGCTGAGAAATGCTGTTAGAGAAAATAAAATGAGTGAGATTGAAATAATATACTGAGAAACACAGAATTAAGTACTGGACATAATTTCAGATGTCAAAAAGCAAAGTTTCTCATCTTTCCCAGTGTCATTTAGAAGTATCTGAAAGTGCTGTGTGGAGATACTCACATTGTACTTGTGCATGATGGCAGCCTTGCATATGAAAGAATCTAGAAATATAGGTAACGTTCTTGAGCTTCTTGGTGCTATGCCAAAACCCAGCTAAAGACAAAGCGATGAGAGTCATTGTGGTAAAACTATTGATGTGCTTAAGTTCACAAAAGCTAGTGTATGCGTGCCTATGAGAAAGAATGTATTCTAGGTTGTCAGTCATGTAAGGCAGTGTGGGTACGTCACCTATTCAAAATTTGAGTGATCAAAATTTTAGGTATATCTAATTAAAAAAAACTAAGAATACAGGAAATAGAATATCTTTTCTGTGGCACTGCCTGCTCTCCACATCTGAGACCACCTATCAGGTATGACCAGCCTCTGACAGATGGAAGACAGTTTTTTGGGAAATCATTTAGCCTCCAAATGTATTTTGTGATTCTTTTTACTCCCTTAACCTCAGGGAGATCTTTAAGAATTTAGGGAAATATTTTATTGGGTGGGTATTTGATTTTTTAAAACTTCATTTATTAAACTCAAGTTCTTTCCATAGAAAGTTTGGATTCCATTTCTATGAAGTTATGTTATTCATAATTATATGGAATATCTGGCTGATGTTTCTGATGGTCAAGTCTGTATAATAGACTGTGAGAATTTAAAATATTTTGTGAGCTTTTTTCTTTTGCTAGTTTTATTATTGTGTGATAAAACTGTTGAATCTTTTAAGAAACAGAGCCTTTTGACCACCACACAGACAAGGTAGAAGGTGGGAGTGGGTTCCCAGTGGTGGAAGAGTCATAGAGCATAGGCCAGTAGAAAGCCATAATGACATCTGCCTCTATTCATTACATTCTTATTTTCATTTTCATTAGGTCATGCACATTCGGAAACTACTCCAGAAAATGGAACGCCCAAATGGTCTTTATCCAAATTATTTAAACCCAAGAACAGGGCGCTGGGGTCAGTGTAAGTATTTCTTGCTGAAAAGGTTGTTTGAAAAGTCTTTGCTTGATGTGTGGTACACCATGTGGAGTTTAAACCCCCAGTCTAGGCCTGACCTTCCCAATTGTCTACTAATGCTGCTCTGTGGATTAGGTCCTGATCTTTTGAAGCTGCTTAAGTTGAGCTTTTATGGCTGGGCATTGGTGGCGCCTGCCTTTAATTCCAGCATTTGGATCTCTGTGAGTTCTACAGAGCTAGTTCCAGGACAGGCTCCAAAGCAATACAGAGAAACCCTGTCTTAAAAAACAAACTAAAAACAAACAAACAAACAAACAAAAAGTTGAGTTTTATTTGTAAAAATGAAGTTTTAGTAAAGTGCCTCACAAGAATATTTTCTTTCATGTAATCTGTAAGTAATTTGCTGAAATATGAAGGATAATGCATAGTAATCATATCTTGTGAATAAGAGTTGCTTGAGATAACTTTTTATGAGTACTTCAGAATATATGTAACTATATAAATTACTAGAAAAGGGGACAGTTGCCATTGGATAAACTATGTCTTGTCATTCATTTAAGAAAAAGGTACCATGCATCTATTATTTACTATGCTGTTGTATGAGACTAAAGATAGTAAAAGAAATAATGTTCATCTGATTTTAGGGGATTCCCGAGCTAGCCGCATAGGTAGAAACACTTAAAGTGGTTAGACTATATGATCAATGTTGTAGTGATATATTGTTTATGATTTAATAAAGCTTGCCTGGGGATCAGAATACAAAGCCAGACACACTAGTTAGCTATAGAAGCTGGGCAAGTGGTGACACACACCTTTAATCCCAGGACTCAGGAGACAGCAGCAGATGGATCTCTGTGAGTTCAAGAACACCCTGGGCTACAAGAGAGTGAATCAGCCTAAAAGAGCTCACATCTTTAATCCCAGTACTAGAGAGTATATGAAGAGCTCCATGCAGTCTCTGAGAGCAGTCTAGGAGTCTGAGATTTGGTGAAGAGCAGTGCAGTCTGGATTGCAGTCTGAGGATTTATAGAGAAAGGATCACCCTTTTGGTCTGAGGTAGAGGTAAGAGCTCTTTGGCGGCTGGCTGCTCTGCTTTTCTGATCTTCAGCTTGAACCCCAATTTCTGTCTCTGGATTTTTTTTATTTATGCTACACAATGTAATAAAGAAGTGTACAAGTTCGTAAGAAGCTTGTAGAAATGTTATGCCTTGTGGGAAAATGTTTTGTTTGCAGAGGTTAGTATTATCAGGGGTTTAGAATTCCTCTTTGAAGGTTTTGAGTCTCAAACAGTAAATGTTAATGTGGAAATGTTGAATTTATAATTTTAGTAATTAAGGTTTCTATAAATGCTATTCTTTTAAAAAGTAAAGAAACTTAAATACAAGTAACAACTTTGCCCCTAATAGGTCATGTTTTTGTTATTTTTCAAATTAACAATGGTGTAATGAAGTAGTAAATGAGAGACGAAGGCAACAATCATTTAATTTTAAGTATTGGAAGCACTACTAGCTTTGCCAGTGCAAACCACATGAGTCTGAATACCGGCAGCTGGAGGATGTTTGCCAGGGATTGCCTTGCAGGCTCCTTGTCAGGACTTTGCGTTAGATCCTAGTCTTGTATTTTCCCTCTCCATTACTTCTTTACGTGGAGTTCACTTTTCTCTTTACTTAAGAAAATGTAAGCGCTAATGTTCATATTGAATGGAAATAGTTTTGAAAAAGCAAATGTAGAGAGCTGCATTTGTAAAACAAACTGTAGTTTTCTTATGCTAGAGATAGTGACTGGATTGGATGCCTACTTAGTAATTTTGATGAATCAGATTATAGAATTTACTCCCTTAAAGTGTTAAGATTTGGAATTTCTAATATTGTGGGGAAAATTGGACTCAGTTTCTACAATATTTTATGCCATTATATATTTTTATATGGTATAACTATTTCAGTGTCTACAATTAAAAACTTAAACTAAATAATGGTTGCCAGAAGCATAAGGTGTCACTTTAACCATATATAAAGATTAGCCTACATTTCATAACAATTAAAAGGCAAATTTTATAATAAGAAGATGAATATATTTGGAAAATGATTTTTATATCCTTTCAATATCATGACTTATAAGATCATAAGAAGTAGATGATCACTCAAAGAATGCTGAGATAAGAAAACTTAATTAATAAAAGCAGAACATAGGTAATCAGTGAGACAATATTGCTTAGTTCTAAAGTTGTGGCAGTAAGTAATTCTTGGAGACTACTTGCTGGGACATTTCTTTCCATATAGACTACTGCTATTATAGCAAATACAGTCTTGTAGACCTTTATCCAGATACCTTTGTCTTTCCCATTTCACTGTACCCAGGACCATCAATGCACTTTTGAACAGGGGCATAGTTCTTTAACTGTTAGATTGGTAAAGCAAGTTAAAACCCCTGTATACCAAGTGTTTCAAACAATGTTAATATTTTTGAGCCTTCTGAATCAAGCAATTATCTAGTTTATTCCTGGGAAAATTTAAGAACTATAAGCTTTATGTATTGAACCTAGGAATTATTTACAGTTGGAATAATTTTGAAACTTGCTAAAAGTTTTTTATCCAAATGATAATTGTATAATTGTATAATTATAGAACATGAGTATAATCACTAGACAAATAATAGGCAGTTCGTAAGTACTTAAAACATTACTGTTATACTTATGAAGCTATGCTTTATTATTTAATAGTTTTTTAGAACTTTATACATGAGCACTGCCTACTCATCATTCCTGCCCCCCTTTTCTTCCTCCAGCTTTCTCCTTGCTTTCCCTTCCCACATTCATGATTTCTCCTTCAGTAATAATTGTTACATGTATGAACATATGCATATATTAAATGCGTATGTTCTTTAGTTTTGCTTTTATGGGCATGTGACTAGGGCTGACACTTGGGATTGGAAAACCTGTGTGGGAAGTCATCTAGAGGAAACTGATTCTTCCTCTCTTAGCCACTGACTGCCTGTAGCTCTTCATCTAGGAGTGGGACCATTTGTGATTTCTCTGTCCATGTTGGCCTGTCAACTAGTGTTGTCATTGTGATGGCCTTGAAAGTTCTTGGTCATGTTTTCTTTGTCATGTCTAGGAGACTTTATCGAACAGCAGATGCCCTAGGCCTCTGGCTTTTATAACTCTTTACCTCCTCTTCCATGGTTTTCTCTCAGCTTTAGGTGCAAGTGTTATGCTGTAGATGGACACTTGGAAAAGACAGGGTGAACTTCTACTGTATCGTCTATGAAATTATTTCAAAATGGATTTTACAAATATAACCAACTTTAAGAGCCTGAACTATAACACCCTTAGATGAATATCCAGGCCAATAGGTTCCACAATATGATGCCAAGACTAGATAAACATAGGAAAATAAGTTAGACTTAAATAGAATTCAAAACTTTTGTGCATCTAAGGACACTATCATGAGTTAGAGATTAACTACCAACAAGAGTTTCATATGTGGTAAGGGTATGTTTCCACAATATATTAACTCATGCAACTCAACAAGAAGGCAACATAAATGAAAAATAGACCAAATGATTAGAATAGTTGTTTTTCCCAGGAAGATATGCAGGTGGAATATAAGCAAATGAAAACTGATATCCTTATAGAAATGCAAATGAAAACCACTGTGAGATACCTACCATTTCACAGCTACCACAGTGGCTGTAATCAGAAGTGAGCCTTAGCAAATGTGGAGAAATTAGAGCACTTGTCATTTCTGGTGGGAACTGGAAACCTTGCAGCCAGGATAAAACTCTGGCAGTTTCCAAAAAGGCAAACAAAATTCCCCAATGAATAACCACCAAATGCATGAAAACCAGGCTCAGATGCTTATATCCCAGTATCCCAAAAGCCAGGAGCTAGAAATGAGCTGCCTTGGATGTGCTTTGTCTTCTAGAGGTTCAGTTGCTGGAGACTCTGGCCTGAGGGTGACAGTAGTGGCATAGTGGAACATTTGGGATGTGACAAGGTCCCAGGGATGGGTAGCAGTCATGTTTACCACTCTCTGGGAACACAATTACTATCACTATAGAACACTTTACAGCTATACACAGGAGCAAGGTAGTTGGGTCATTGGAGCCCTGTCCCCAGAGGGGCTGGGGCTGGTCTTAAAGGGGGAGATAGCTTTCCTGAGGATGTAAACCCACCCCTGTCTACCAGTTCCTCTTCTGATTCCTTGTTGTGTTGTGATAGAGTCAGATTGTCTTCACCAAAGTTGAGCAAATGCTGACGACACCACATTCTTGAATTTTCAAAATTGTGAACTAAATAAACTCCTTTATTAGTTCTAAAGTTTCAGGAACAGGTAGTGATCATGGTCACTCACTGATTGCAGCTAGAGTCATTGACTAGCACACTTCATCATAGTGCCAGTGACACCGTCTGTGTTATGCATAGATCACCACAATAAAAGGCCCTATCAAAAAGGAGAACTCATTTGTCACTGTTTTTCTCCACAGAATAAATCGAAACTGCTTCATCATCATCAGTTATTAATTTTAAGAATGCTAGAGAAAGTGCTGTTCACTGGGTGTTTTGGCAGACAGATTTCAAAACCTTAGCAAGCTGGCCTCATAGTCCATTAGCAGCTGCAATCCTACTAAATTGTCTGATTTGTTCTTTTTCGAGTTTTTGTATGCTTTTTATCAGTTCTGGAAAGTATTAAATTCCATAATTATCTTTGAGCAGTATACATCTGTCATATCTATAAATAAGCTGCAAAACAAACATTTAATTGAACTGAAAGTTAACCATTCAGCTTTGGCTAACTGTATTATAATTAAAGTGATGATAATGTCTGATATGCACATAGCAATCAGAGAGTAATTGCTAGTAATTACTCTCAGGATAAGGACTTGGCAACAGAGTTAAAAGAATATCATAAGGAACCTAAATTTAAAGGCAAATCATTGGTTCTCTCCCTTTTTACTTTAGTTCTCTCGTTTTTCACATACAGTGAGTGATTAGCCTGTGCAATTTA